ACATGCACTTAAAATGCCACAGGAGAAAGAAAACAGTGTTCTGAGCTTTGCTCCCATCAGCCAGGATTCAGCCTCTTATAAAAGGGGGGGAGGCAGAAGGAGGGTAGCAGGAGTGGGTGGGACAGGGAGAAGGTCTGGGCTCTGCACCCATCCATGGGCTCCAGAAAAGGTTCCATCCAGGGCCTCAGTGAGTGGTGAGAGGCAGCATTTGCTAAAGCAACAGAAAACTGCCAAAGGACTGAAGGTTCAGTGGGGGGCTCACATCAGTTTTAACTGACAAATAGGCAGGGGAGACTATTTTACTCATCACATAATTGTTTTTTACCTTTGAAACTTCTATTTCTCTTTTTTTCCCCTATGAAATCACATGTATTTAAAGAAAGTAAATAAATCCTTAATAACAGTGAATTAAATGTCTCTGGTAAACCCAAATCACTCCACTCAGAACTTTGCCTCACTTAAAAAGAAAAAAAGGAAAAGTTTCAGTTTGACCTGGTTTTTCCTCCCTAATTTTTCAGCTCACACTGTTGGAAATAACAGTCTACATAGGTTACATCATTTGTGAGGAATCTCCTCTCATCTGTCTCCAAATGAATAACAACAAACATTCAAAAAATAATTGAAGTTTTATATATATCCCTTGGCCATTCAGGTGGTATGGCTGGCACAAGACATAGGCACTTTAAACAGCTGTTGTGAATCTTAAGTATAAACTTCCACCCTTTGGCACAGCATCAGGAAATTCTGCATAGGAATATACCTGCTCTGCCTCACAGCAGACACAACCCACGGTGTTTAATACCTTGAGAGTGGACAGCAGAGAAAAGCTGTTTTTCCAGGGGACACCCCTGCTTTGTGTGACCCTTTTCCCTCTATTGGATGAGCATGGCTGAGCAGTGCTTGAGGAAATGTACAGACACACACAGAGCTCCTCTTCCTCCTGCAACAGCACATACCTCTGTTGTGTTGCAGAGTAATGCAATGGCCTAAAAAAGCCCAACCACCACTACACACACACACTCCCTATTTCACATACACGTTTCACCTATCCCAACCTTATTTCTCAAAGGCAGGCATGGTAACAACAGTCTGCTGTGGGAGCCAAAGTAACCCATGTTTTCTGTTACCCAACCTGTCCCACTAGAGCTGAGTCCAATTGCTCAGTCAGATCTTCCTTGGTGGACAAACTCTTCTAAACAACACAAAGACCAACTTCTCCAGCTGGAGTCTAAAATCATGGCTGAACTCCCATTCCACTGCTTTTGTGAAAATACAGAGACACCAAATTGAGCAGAGAATCAGGGAAAACTGATAGACATCACCAGGCACATGGTGCAGAACACCACCCCTATGGCTACATGTGTGCCTGTCAAGCCTGGCTTCAAGAGCTGGTCTAGGCTGGTAGTTTGCCTAACCCAGAGCTAACTTCCACCTTGCCATGTTTCCATAAGCAGGTAAATAAACTGCTGCAAAGACTGAGGCGATGCAGCAGGCAAGGCTGGGCTGAGCTCAGGCCTCACAGCACTTTTAGGGTCCTCCCCAAGCTCTGCCCCGCTCCAACACCCACCCACAGACACACAGGCTCACAGGCATGAGGACATCCAGCCTGTTCAGATTACGGCTTTAACTCCACAAGCCAGGGACACAGAAATTGGGTCTTCTTGTCCTTTAACTACTAGGGCAGCACCCCTTCCCAAAACTGCATTATTTTGACCTGACTGCTTCCTTCTCCCCTTGTTCCACCTCATGACATTTATTGGAGGATGGATCAGCCATGCTCCCAGAAGCTGTTATAATTACAGCTGCACAGATATCACACATATTGATGTGTAAGAGATGCAGCTGAAGAGATCAGTTTCTATCACAGGTAAGCTACACCTGGGCAGGTGCAGTAGGGCAAGGCTAAATCTGCAAACATGCTCCTGGAAGAGGCTGCCCCACTGCTTCACATCTGTGAAAAGTTCATCCAAACCGTCTGTGTGACCCAGCACCAGGGGGGTGATCCTGAGCTAAAGACTGCAAGGACAGCACAGGGAAACAAGCACAGGTTTCCCATGCCTGTGCTCCCAAGGGATTGTTGCCAAAAGCCAGCTGCTGGCCCAGAGGGACAGATCAGGCTCTGTTGGGCACTTCAGGTCAGAGCCTGCCATGGCACTTGCAGACACAGAACAGAACAACTCTGCAGCTAAGAAGGAAAGACTGCACCAGCTTTGGGGCTCCAGCTGCAGGGATGTGAACTCAGTCACCCACTGACAGCTCTGTGGCAGGGGGCAGGAAGACCAGGGCAGCTTGGCAGGGGGTTGGAAGGCACCTTCCACAGGCACAGGGACCAGGACACTCTTTGTCCTCTTGGCCAGTGGTAAGCCGCAGGCAGAGCACAGCACCACCATGGTCGGTTGTGGGGTGGAGGGTTTGCCCTGCCTGGACCAGACACTGGGCCTAGCTGAGTTGTGATCACTGACCCTTCACCCTCACAGGGACAGCACAAGAGATCCAGCACCCAGAAGGTTTCATCAAACGGCTCTGGTTCGCTCAACATGCTCAAAAAGCTTGTATCCACAAAGTTCCCTCCTGGGCTCAGTGGCTCCTGTGCCCAACAAAGCCAGCCTGGCATCAGCAGCCCGTGCCTCTCTCTGATCTCAGCTATCAAAACAGTGTGACTAATCCAGCAGTGTTTCTGAGGCAGTATCTCCAATACACTTGTATTAATGCCAGTTAAGCAGAGTACTGGTTAAAGTGTGACCGCTCAGAGCTCCATGCACATTAATGCCATCACAGAGTGTTACGTCCCTCGCTCTTGAGGCGAATCCCAGAATAGCAATTAAATCCTCATTAACAATCTTCAATTATAAAGTAAATCAAATGCAAAGCCTCCATGGGAAATCTCAGCTCATATTCAGGGTGACTGAAGATTTTATGAAAGGACAAAATTAGGTTAAACACCACAGACAAGCTACTTTCTCTGCTCTGGATGTCAAAAAGGGACCTGTCCAGCAGGGCTGCTGACAGTCACCTCTAACCAGCTCCTAGCCCGACCCCTGAGCACAGCCCAGGCAGGAGTAGCATGTACCCCACGCACAGGGCTGTCCCTCACTGGGCATAGGATGGATTCCTCCTATTCCTCTTCAGTCTTTGAATGTCTCCTACCCAGAGAACCCTTCTGTCCAACATGAAGGTCCTCTGAAGGGGAATTCTCATCTTTGCCCCTGTTTTTGTTGTTAATAAAGCCTGAAAGCAGATGTTCAAATACAAACGCTTAATGAGCACCATCAGCCAACAAATCCCTCCAGCATCATCTAATCCAGGTGAGCATCAATCTCCTCACCACACTGCCTTTCTGCAGCCTGAGGAACCTGTCCCACTGCTGTCCAGGAAATACTCCTGCAAAGCGATGACATGAGAGGCAGAGGCCCCAGTTGTATGCCAGTTGTATGACCCCTCACTCCCATGTGCCAATTTCCCATTGTGGGACGGGGAGCAGATCCTCCCTGGTTGCTCCTAGCCTCATCTGGAAGAGGAGATCCCTTCTGCCCACACTGCTCCAAGCCTTTACTGCCCCCACCCCTTTGAATTTCTCCAGGAGCAAATAAACCCTGTTGTTCTAACAGTGAAACCAACGGGGCCATGGCAACATTTCAAGGAGAAGAAAGGCACCCATAAAACCTTTCTCACTCTGGAAATCGACTGGGTGTCTTCTCTTGGAGGTACTAACACAGCAAATCTCCAGTTGCTCCCAGTCCTCCACCCCAGCACTCCTCTGAACTTTCCCCAAATCCTTCCCACATGAATCAATCTGGAGACAAAGCTGGCAAAGCCTTCCAGCCCCCACCAACCAATTCCACCCTTGGGTCCCGCTCCTGTGCTTGTCTCCAGGTGCCCCAGGAGAGCAGCTCCCAGTAATGCCCTGGGACAGGGCCTGTTGAGTGACCTCCCATGCCCAGCAGGCGTGAGGCATCACCTGCACAGCTGCCCAGCTCCTCCTGGAGCAGCGTGGAGTGACCCTGCTTAGCACTGCTCATTTTTCTCCAGGCTTGCAAGGTTTGGAGATTGGTTCAGATAAGCATCCTCAAGCTTGCATGCTTATCTGCCCCATCTCCCAAACAGCTTTGATCTGCAGGATTTGGCTGCAGCTCTCAAAGTTATCTTGGGAAAGCTTGTTCTGGGGAGAGTCATTCTCCTGATTAACAAGAAAATCTTTCTTAGTGGCTTTGAGCATTTCCAGCCCTGGCTGTACCCAGGGAATGTAGCCATGTCTGCAGACAGAGAGAAGGAAAAGCCAAGCAAGCTTCTCCTTAAAACTCCACTGGGGCTCCCTCAGCATTCCAGCTAAAATCTGAGGTCAGATATTTCATCTTGCTTCTTTTTGTCATTTTCAGTTTGTGGGGCACTTTACATCATCCATATCCTGTGCAAAATTCCTGGAAGGAAAGCTGGCTGGACTGACCAAGGAAACAAGTTCCTGGATGAGCTAGGTGAACCATGCAGGACAAGGAAGAGGGATTTATCTGGCTGAGGGCAAGTTTTAAAAGGCACAATTTTGAATTAAACAGCTGAAAGCAAGAGCCCCTCTAAAAGCTCTAATGAAGGAACCACAAGCCACACGTAAGTATGTGTTAATGCAGTCAGATACTCATTTTCCAGTTTACTTTCTGCTTGGCCACAGCTTTAGGAAATATTCCTTGGACTGCAAGGTATCAAATGTGCCGCTCTTGAAAAACACTGGCGTGGATTCCCTCACACTCAGCCCACCACCATCATTCCACTGAGACCCTTCCTTGTGGCAACAACCAGGGAGGAAGAGGAAGATGGTATTAAGGAACAGGAGGAACTACAGAATCAGCAATGAAGTTTATAGTGGGGAAACTGCCCCGAACATTTCCTGCCAGCCTTGCATAAAGGATAAATATGCATTTAAAAAACACTACTCAGGGAGGGGAAAGAAGTGTGAACAGCAAAAATATGTACATATGTTTTAAATAATTTTTTTTAATTGTTGAGGCAGTAATACTTGGTTCATGGAACTGCAATATACAGAGAGGTGAAATAAATAGCTTATATATATATAATATATATAATATAGCTGGTTTTAAAATATTCCCTTATCATTGGTGTACTAGGTCATCTTGTAGTCACTTGAATGTAGTTAGCAGCATTCTCCAGAAGTGAGCGGGATGCAGGATCACGGAGCCGTGACTCCCAGTGTCGTCAGGAGGGTACAGAGGGTCGGTGCGCCGAGAGCTCCGCGGGCCCGGCCCCGCAGCCGCCGCCTGGCCTGGCGGGCGGGCAGGCAATAAATACATTACTGCAACCGGCACTTGGCGGGGCAGGGTCTCAGTAACTTTGGGAAAGAACTTGGGTTTTCTTTGGTTTTATTTCTTTATTTTTAATAATTTTTTTTTTTTCCCTCTGGGGATATGCTTGAGAAGTTGTCCTTTCCAAAAAAAAAGCAAAAGAAGCACCTGTGTGTCATCAACAACAAGAAGTCAATTTAAATAGAGCAGTTAATTTCATTTTTCAAGTCACAATAAATCCCGAACAGCTTTCCCCAGCATTTGCCATCTAGTCTTTTATTAATTTTTTTTATTTTTATTTTTTTTAAACACAATGTACAAAAATAGAGCTTCTTCCTTATTTTTAATGTAAAAATATTCCTCTGGTGCAGTTTTTTTTTTTTTTTTCTTTTTGTGGTTTCTTATTGTGACACTATTTTTGTCTGTTTAGCTGGGGTTGGTGGGTCGTATTCTCTTAGTCCTCTTGGTGACTGTTGTGTACTTGAAAGGTTTCTGTATCTCCATTTGCCCCTTTGGGTATCTCTTCATAAAGTGTACATCTTGCTGATTTTCCCGGGTCTTGGGCCCTTTCCGTGGCCTCCCTTTTTTGGTGAATCCAACATACCAGCCTGAATATTTTGCAGACATCAGTGCCGTGTAGTTGTTTTCTAGGACTTTTTCAATGAAGACACACTCCTTACTGGTGCCATCAGGCTGAAAAAGGAAAAAAAAAAAAAAAGAAAGAAAAAATAAATAATCCAAATGCAAGCTCAGTGACCAAAACCCAATTTGGCATAAATAAAATCATCACATCTGGACCTCTTTTTTGGTTCAAACATTCTTAATAAGAGCCATAACAAGCATCAGCTAAAATAGATTTTTTTTTTTAAAGCATGAAAGCGTGAGGTCATAATTTCTTTTTTTTTAAATGCTCTTATCCAAGGGGAGAAAACTTTTTCAAAGACAACAGTTAAGTTTATCCAGTCCTGTGCCTTCAACTGCAAGCAAAGCAAGACATCCAGCTTTGCTTTCTTCCCTTAGGGAGAGAGGATGAATTGAATTCGTGCCAGGGAAACATCATACTTAGTCAGAAAAAAACCAAACCCCAGAATCTCACATGGCCCAAACAACAGCGTTTCCCCTTCTACCCCTCACTCCTGAAATACCTCATGGGCTTTCACCCCCAACTACTCAAATCCCACTAAAATTATGACAAGCTTCAGTCTAAGCCTCCACAGCAGTTTTAAAACTCTCCTCCATGTGATCCCAGGGCAACCCCTGGCACATGGACCACACATGGTGCTCCAGGGCTGCTGGAGCCACTGGGGTCCCCAGCACCACTCCAGTGCCTGGGACCTGGAGAGCCCTGAAGCCAAACTGGGCTCAGCTCAGCCTGGAGATCCTACCAGACCCAGAACTGGGCTTTGAACATGGCAGAACAAGGATCTCTGCATTCAGGATTCTCACCCAGCACAGGCAGCACTGGAGGGAGTGACAGCATCACACAACTGCATCTTCAAGTCCTTGAGCATAAAGGAAATTCTTCTCAACCATAACCTTCTGCCAGAAAACATTTTGCCCTTTAAGTGCTGAGTCACTGGAACTGTACTTAGAATGTCACATGATTTGATTTATGCATCAGAAGATATTCAGGAGTAGATACAGGATAAGTAGATATAAACCATCACACAGGACTTCATTTAAAGCTCAGCACACTCAAAGGAAGGATTTCCATCATAGCCCAATGCAGCTTCCCACTGATATCAGATGAGTTTTTTGGACCTGCAGGCCTACATATACTACTATGAAACCCTGCCCACCAAACTAAACACTTTACCCATCATATCCTGGGGGAGCAGGGAAGCTGCAGCAGCGTGAGCTGCTCAGCCCCCAGCCCCTGCTTGGGCCCCTCTGGGCACAAGGCTGGGGTGAGCAGCCAAACCCTGCATGGTCACCATCCTTCCCCCAAGGACAGCTCAGCCTGCCCTTCCAGTCAGCCATCCTGAAATGTGCTGCACAATCCCTGTGGAGTTTGCTGCAGTTTGTGGAAGGGCAGGGAATCATGGAGCAGGAGGGAACCCCTCCAGGCCATGCCGCACAGGCTTCCCTGCACCCCTGAGCCCCAAACACACACGACAGGGGAACCATCAGGCACAGAACAAGGAGGCAGCAACAGAGGAAAGCCAGGATGGCTGGTCATCACCAGCCCCCAGAGCCAGCCATTCCTCCAGGACTCCATGCCTTCAGCAGAGCTTTGGGTCCATCTGTGTGACAGAAGGTGATGTTTGCTATGAAGTCAGCACCTCGAGGCTTTCGGCACCAGGGAAGGTCTCATTAAGAGGGCAAATTCTGGCAACTCTTCCAACAGATCTAATCCAGGGCCTGCAGAGGGGCTCTGCCTTAGGACCAGCAGTCTCCATCCAGGACAGGCACAAAGGTCCTCATTTTACCATCCCCAACTGGAAGCTCACAAACGCTTTAATGAACAGCAGAACTGGGCAAAGCTCAGTGATTCCAGTTCCTGGGGGTGTCATTCTACAAGTCCTGGGTTTGATCAAAGCCACATGAGTGGCAAAGGGGGAAATCAATCAACACCACAGGGTTCCACCAGAATTCAATGGGAAGCCATAAAACCAGCTCCAGGTTTCTCAGGGCCCAGCCCACTACAAACCCTTCCCCAGTGAGTGGAGAATTTTTAAACAATACCATGGCTGGGATTCAAATCCACCCAAAGCCAGGTGCCTGTGAACCGACCGGATCCGTACCGCAGGTAATTGGAAGGGTTGTTCCCCCCATGCTCGTGGGAAGGGACTGGATTTGAGCCCTGACCCTGTTGCTAGGAGAATTAAGGGTTTTTCATGCAATTTGGGAGGGTTCTGCTTCTACTGCAATGTCAGTTTTTCATGGAAAATGAAGACTGGAATGAAAAGAAAACATGTGTGTAGGAGGGGGGAACTTATTCTATTAATAACAAAAAAGTATTTACTTATACCTTCAAATTTGCCGACAGAGCCTAAGACGGAGACAGGAGGTGGAGGAATAACAAGGTGCAACTTCAGGCCAACCTCAGGGCTAATTTGAAGTAAACAAGGTGCATGAGATAAAATAACTTCGTTCTGGAAGAGGAAGAGCTAAATGGTTTGATAACATGAAATTACAGCAGCATTTACAAGTACCTAGAGATAAATCAGGATAAGGACCTCACTTCCCCAAACAGAGCATTCCTGTATGTGCTAAGACACGTCACAGACACACAAATGATTTTCAAATACTGACAAGATAATTTTACAGTTTCTTTTATAATCCCCAACAGGATAAATCATTCACACAAGTTACCTACACCATGAAGAACTGTACTCACAGCAATCTATTAGGGGAAAAATCAATTTGTGAGGGTTTTCAGTAATTTTTAAGCATCAGGTGCCCAACATTTAAAATTTAATCAGTTTCCTACTTGAGCCATAGCAAAACATTTCTTGGGTGTTTGGGGGTCGGTCAGCCATCCCCTCACTCCTCCAAAGAGAGGGGGGTGCAAGAGAAAAGGGAGACAGCTTTAGCCAAGCATCACTCCCTGGTCCAGCCACAGGCTCACCCTTCCCCAGGAGCTCCTGGTGCAACCGACCCAGGGCTGCACCCTCTGTCACCAACGCAGCTGGGAGCTGCTGCCAAGCCACATTTCATACACACAGGGATGGGCCATGCAGAGCCCTCACTCTCCAAAACACAGAGCTTTGTGTTTTCAACTGATTCTTGACAGTAAAGAAATTCTTGAAAGTCTCAGAGCTGCACAGGGGCTGTCTGGCCCAGTGTAATGGCCTGGCCACGGGACAGAGGAAGTCCCACAGCCAGCCCCACATCCCTGTCCCCTCCACAGCAGGAATGAGGGCTTCCTGTGCCCCTCATGTGCCCCACTGGCTGCTCCTGCCTTTTGGCCTCATCATCCCACTGGCAGCAGCTCCATCCATGCTCAGAGCAGGACACAGCAGAGGCACAACCCTGCTCCTGCAAAGGCTCTCTGCAAGTCAGACACCAAATTGTTGGGGTTGGCCAAGGGGCTGCTGCCTGGCCATGCAACAAGGCTGTGCCACCTGGCAGGTCAGTTCTTTGCAAAGAAATCATTCAGAGCATGTTTTTGTTTAAACACAGTCCAATAACTTTGGGAAGATGTGGTATCTGTTAGCCAAATTTCTGATAAAATGCCTGATCTAAATGCCACCTTCCAGGGAAAGCTCTGGGGCGTGGCCCAGGTCTGTGCAGAGCGAGGGGAAGGCGCAGCCTGAGCAGCGCCCAGGGCTGGCTCCAGCAGAGCATCTCCTGAACAGGCCTGGGGAGCAGCCCCGCTGGCACTGGGGCAGTGCCCAGCACAGGCAG